ATCTCAATTACCGTGTGCCCCCTAGTGTTCCACGTACTTCTAGATTTCAAATGAATCTCATCCTCTCAACAGTCTCTGAGGCAGGCACTCTGGTTATCCTCTTTAGCAGAGGAGGAAACTGAGGCACAGGGAGAGGGGAAGAGCCAGTTAGGAGCAGGTATAGGATGTGAGCCCAGACGTCTGGATCCAAAATCTGGGCCCGAACCATCATTGTAGTTCTTGCACTGACATACACACATATTTTTATATTTATAGGAAAAAATCTGGAAATTTATTATTATTATTATTATTATTTAAAATATATTTTATTGATTTTTCACAGAGAGGAAGAGAGAGGGATGTAGAGCTAGAAACATCGATGAGAGAGAATCATCGACCAGCTGCCTCTTGCACACCCGCTACTGGGGATGTGCCCTTGACCGGAATCGAACCTGGAACCTTTCAGTCCGCAGGCCTACGCTCTATCCACTGAGCCAAACCGGTTTGGGCAAAAAATCTGGAAATTGAGAAGCAAAATGCATAAACTGTGCTTTTCTTGGCATCTTCCACGGGGGATGTCACGGGGACTTTGATTTTCTTCCGTTTCCCACATATCCTGCTGCCTGTGTGGGGAAAAGAGGTGGGGTGTGACAGGGCCCTTGGCAGTGCTGTATCCCCCCAAGATCCCTATCTCGCTTGAACCCTGTTTTAAAGGCATGGTCAGATGCTGCTGAGTCAGCACCTTAACATGCATCACTTTCGCCCAGGCCGGTTTGGCTCAGTGGATAAAGCGTCCGCCTGCAGACTGAAGGGTCCCGGGTGTGATTCCGGTCAAGGGTATATGCCCAGGTTACAGGCTCAGTCCCCAGTAAGGGGCCTGCAGGAGGCAGCCACTCAATGACTCTCTCTCCATTGATGTTTCTATCTCTCTCTTCCTCTCTGAAATCAATAAAAACATATTAAAAAAAAAAAAAAAAAAAAAAAGGATGCAGCCCTGCCGGCCTGGCTCAGTGGTTCAGCGTCGCCCTGTGAACCGGGTCACAGTTCTTTTCCCGGACAGGACGCATGCTTGGGTTGCGGGCTCCATCTCCAGGTAGGGGGTGTGCAGGAGGCAGCCCATCACTGATTCTCTCTCTTGCTTGATGTTTCTATCCCTCTCTCCCTTCCTTTCTGAAATCAATGAAAAATGTTAAAACGACACACTGAAAACATCACTTTCATGGAGCTAGGATGTCCAAACGACAAGGCACTTAGAGCTTCTTTTTTTTCTTTTTAAAATATATTTTATTGATTTTACACAGAGAGGAATTGAGAGGGACAGAGAGTTAGAAACGTCGATGAGAGAGAAACATCGACCGGCTGCCTCTTGCACACCCCCCACTGGGGATGTGCCCGCAACCAAGGTACATGCCCTTGACCGGAATTGAACCTGGGACCTTTCAGTCTGCAGGCCGACACTCTATCCACTGAGCCAAACCGGTCCCAGCCACTCGGAGCTTCTTGCCTGTTTCTCCTGCGCTGCCGATGAGGAAATGCCACCCACAGAGCCCGAGGCCTGGCTGAGAGGTCACACAGCGCAGAGCCAGGGGCAGAGCCAGGGGCGGCCTGCGGTTCTGTTTTCTCATGAGCTCATGCGGCCTCCACAGGGGGAGGAGTCGCAGCCGCTTCCCTGTGCTCTTCGCTCTGAGCCGGGAGGCAGCACCTGACCTGCTGACATCACATCCTATTGGCCTGGGACCTGGCCTGGGGTTTCCAGTGACTAAAGTTGCAACTCGGGAACTTTCCATTCTCTCCGGGCGCTTTCCTGGAGGCTCTCTCCCTGCAGGAGCTGCCACCGCCTTCCCCATTCCTTCGGGGAAGAGAGGCCGGGCAGCCTGGCTCTGAGGTCTCACATGGAGGCTGAGGCTGTGAGGACCAAGTCCAAACCCCAAGCCCAGCGTTCCATGCCCTTGGCTGTATTTTCCTGGCCTTCACCTCTTGTCCACTTACATTTTTATTTTATTTTAAAAAATATATTTTATTGATTTTTTACAGAGAGGAAGGAAGAGGGATAGAGAGTTAGAAACATCGATGAGCCGAAACCGGTTTGGCTCAATGGATAGAGCGTTGGTCTGTGGACTGAAAGGTCCCGGGTTCGATTCCGGTCAAGGGCATGTACCTTGGTTGCGGGCACATCCCCAGTAGGGGGTGTGCAAGAGGCAGCTGATTGATGATTCTTTCTCATTGATATTTCTAACTTCTATCTCTCTTTCTTCCTCTCTGTAAAAAATCAATAAAATATTTTTTTTAAAAAAGAAAAAAAAAAGAAACATTGATGAGAGAGAAACATCGATCAGCTGCCTCCAGCACCCATCCTCCCCCCCCCCCCCCACGGGGGATGTGCCTGCAACCAAGGCACATGCCCTTGACTGGAATCGAACCCGGGACCTTTCAGTCCGTAGGCTGATGCTCTTATCCACTGAGCCAAACCAGTTTCGGCCATTTAACATTTTTATTTTTCAAACTGGGAAGCACCTGGGCTTCTGGTTGACTCACCACAGGGTCCCCAGGGCTTGCTGCGGACCTGGAGCACAGCAATGCTCCATCCTTTTTTTGTTGAGTTAAATGAATGACTTGATGTTCACAGAGATTCTTGCCCTGTGATTTCGGAAACCCTAGAACTGAAGCGCGATGATTTTATTTCTAGGTAACTAAAATGCCTTTCTCACTTCAGTAAACACAGTGGAATACTTTGTGACCATTCAAAAAGCCATTTATGAAGAGCTTGTAGCCACTGGGGAAATGCTTATGGTGTAAAGTTAAACAAGAACAAACTGCAAAATCTTTTTTCTTTTTCTTTTTTAAAATATATTTTATTGTTTTAAAAAAAGAAAGGGAGAGAGATAGAGAGTTAGAAACATCCATGAGAGAGAGTCATCGATCAGCTGCCTCTTGCACACCCCCTACTGGGGATATGCCCGCAACCAAGGTACATGCCCTTGACCAGAATCGAACCTGGGACCCTTCAGTCCCCAGGCAGATGCTCTATCCATTAAGCCAAACCGGTTTCGGCCAAACTGCAAAATCTTAATCTTATAGAACCACACCTGTGTGTGTGTGTGGGGGGGTGGGGGGTTGGGGGACAGGGGGTTGGTTAGAAGAGAAAGTACCCTAATAGGATGCCGGCTCCCATGTGTACACAAGATGGCCAGCAAGGGAGGGCAGTTGGGGGGTGAGGGAACAGACCCAGCCTGCAGTGGAGGGCAGTTGGTGGGGGGACCAGGCTTGCAGGGGAGGTCAGTTAGGGGCAAACAGGCTGGCAGGGGAGCAGTTAGGCATGAATCTGGCTGTCAGGAGAATGGTTAGGGGGCCAGCAATCCTGAATTGTGAAAGGGATGTCTCAGGTTGGAGAGGGTGCAGGCTGGGCTGAGGAATTTCATGCACCAGGCCTCTAGTTACTTTTACAATAGAAAATGAAAAGAAGGAATGCATCCTTTTTAGTATTGTCAATGGTAGCCCCCTGCACATTTTGTATGCTTCAGAGTTGGCAAAGTGCTTTTGGATCCACAGGCTCTTTTGGTCCTTCTAACTATTCTTTGAAGATGGTGGGCCATGTGGGCTGGCTCATTCATTCATTCATTCATATTTCCTCTGCCAGGGCTGGCACTTAGAGGTGAGGGTAAAATTTAAGGAGGCATAGGAGACACCTAATCTTCAGATGTTGCAAATGTTACCGGCGATATTGGCAGCAAGACAGTACCAGACGTTACTGGCTAAGTTGGACCTTGGTTCATGTGTGTGTGTGTGTGTGTGTGTGTGTGTGTGTGTATGTACGTGCGCGCATATTGATTTCAGAGAGGAAGGAAGAGGAAGAGAGATAGAAATATCCATGAGAGCCTGCATAAGCCCCACTGGGGATGGAGCCTGCAACCCAGTCATGTGCCCTGACTGGGAATTGAACTGTGACCACTGGGAATTTCCCCAGTGGCTACAAGCTCTTCATAGGTCGATGCTCAACCACTGATCTGGTCAGGATGGACCTCGGTTCTTGAGTTTGGCAAAGAAAGAATTCAGAACCAGGAACTAAAAAGAGAAAGTTTATCTAGAAAGTTCCAGAAGCAGTAGAAGTGAGCCAGCTGGGCTGCGTAAGCTCAGAAAACAAGTCACAGAAACAAAATGAGGGCCCTTGGAGCTTAGGAGAGAGAAGGCAAAGGTAACATGTAGGGGCGGAGGGAGGGAAAAAGGGGGGAAAAGGAAAGGTGCAGGGGTGCAGGCTGGGGAGGCCCTAGGGGAGGCTCTCTAGAATATTCATCAGCTTTATGCTGACGCACCTAAATGAGATTTATTTCCCTGACTCCTGTCCTTGGATGGGGTTGGCACAAATGGCACTATTGGGATTTTCTGTTATCTACTTCCCTGGGTAGGGTGATTTAAGTTATTTACCCTCTGGTTGTAAACCATGTGCTTTAATCGCAATTTCCTCGATGGCTGTAAACTGTCTCCATTTCCCTATTCCACTTGGTCTGCCTTCCTAGTCCGTCTCAGGCGTACGACCAGCCCTGAGAGTGAGTCCCTCCTTACATTTCGCCCCCTGGTGCCCTCCCCTGCCTCACCCAGTCCTGGCCCTGGCCCGGCTCTGCGCCAGGCCCTGTTCTCTGTACGGGGATCTGATGGTGAACGGGACACACAAACCCCCTCACAGGGCTTGTCTGGGAGGGGAGGCGGCAGAGGCGCTGCCGCTGTGACAGTGGAGGACACAGGCTCCCTGGGGCCCTGACTTGCTCAAAGCAAATAAGCAGCTAACGCTCGAGGCCCCGCCTCCCTCGCCCAGCCGTCTTCCTCCAGGGTCTCCTGTGGCAGCGACCAGGCCCAGGCGCTGCTGTGCCGGCCCGCACGGGGCGTGCAGTGGAACCGGCTGATGGTGGGATTGCCGGTCTGGTTGGGGCAGACGGGGAAAACGTGAAGGACGGAGCCTGGCTAATGCACTGACCCTCTCGGGAGGCACTGGCTTTTCTGACTCCATCCTCTCCCCCGCCTCCCAGCCTCCTTCGTGATCACGGACCTGACGCAGCTGCGGAAGATCAAGTCCATGGAGCGGGTGCAGGGCGTGAGCATCACCCGCGAGCTGCTGTGGTGGTGGGGGATGCGCCAGGCCACCGTCCAGCAGCTGCTGGACCTGCTGTGCCACCTGGAGCTGTACCGCGCCGCCCAGATCATCCTCAACTGTGAGTCCCCGGGCAGGAGCTGCGTGTGCTCTCCCGCCGTTAACCTTTGTGAGTCTTTGGAAAAGTCACATGAGCTTTGTGAAGTGGCAGCATCATGGCCAGCGAGGTTTCCCTGAGGCACGACGGTTACTAATTGGAAACTTTCCCCAATACTCCGATATGACAACCTGAACTAGGCAGCATTAGCAATTAAAATTTTTTGAATGAAAAAAAAATTTTTTTTGAATGGAAGAGTTTACCATCCAACGAAGAAATTAGTCACAAGAGTTTATCTCCGGTCGTGGGTGGAGATGGAGGTCACACCCAGGCCGTCTGGATCCAGAGCCTTTTTCTTTTTCTTTTTTTTTCTTTTCTAACTGTTTTAATTACAACTTCAAGTCTTATAGATACAGACATTGTATTTCTTCCAGGACAGACACTCATATCTTCATAACACTATCGGGAAGAAAACAAACATTAGGTTTTAACTCTTGAGCCCGTTGACTCTTCTGAGCTTAGACATCGACATATTTTTTTCCTTCTCCTTCACAGCTTGGCTTACATCTGACTCATTAGCTTCTCCAGTTTGATCGCCGGTGCCATGTCTCCTTTACTCTTCCATTTTCCTGACACGAAGGCCATTGTCGGTTTCAGTCTCCCTTGGTTGCAGGATCCTCCGGGGCCTGGGCCCTGGTTGGGGCTCCAAGGGGTGTGTGTCTCTCACATCAGTGTTTCTCCCGGTTTGGACCCAGAGCCTCTATTCTCAGCTTTTCTCGTGAGAACATCAGAGAGCTAAGTGCTTGAGTTTCCAGGAAATAATGTGACATTGTCCCCTTCTCTTCTGCCTAGAACTTTCCTCAGACCCCTGCTTTCCTGTCCCCACACCTGTCCCCTCAGGGCTGTGAGAGTCTGCCCACCTCTGCTCCCAGCCACTTTCTCCCCCCCTGGGCCTGGCTGGTTAGAACTGCCTGAGGAAGAGAGAGTGAAGCCTGCTTGTTTCCACATCCACAAACCCCCTGGCTGTTCTCCTATTTTGCGAGTTTGGTTGTGTTTTTACTATTGCTTTACGTCCCCGGGCATTGATCAGCTGCCTCATGCACACCCCCTACTGGGGATGTATGTGCCCGCAACCAAGGTACATGCCCTTGACCGGAATTCAGTCCACAGGCGGATGCTCTATCCACTGAGCCAAACCAGTTTCGGCAAAATGAGTAAATTCTTGATATTGTAGGATTCACAATTTGTCTGGTTTGTGTGGACAACTACCGTACCTTATACAGGTAATAAATTTCCTTTGTTTTCATTTAACAATAAATGTGTACCGTATTCTTCTTCATGGAAAAATAAGACATCCCCTGAAAATAAGACCTAGCGCATCTTTGGGAGCAAAAATTAATATAAGACACTGTCTTTATTTTCAGGGAAACAGGGTAGATGGTAGAAATCCAATTAGTGCTATTTGCCTGCCACAACCAAGGACAGATAAAGAGAATAAATCTCATTTTGGTACATCAGCACAAAGTTGATGACTATTCTATTGAAACCCTCCCCTAAATAACCAGCCTTTATTTTATTTTTAAAATATATTTTTATTTACTTTCAGACAGGACGAGAGAGAGATAGAAACATCAATTATGAGACAGAATCATTGATTGTCTGCCTCTTGCACAACCCCCAGGATTGAGCCTGCAACCCACACATGTGCCCAGACTGGGAATTGAACTGTGACCTTCATAAGTTGATGCTCAATCACTGGGCATACCAGCTGGGTAACAACCAGCCTTTATTTTTTTTTTTTTATTTTTTTATTTTTTTTATTTTTTTATTTTACATATTTTATTGATTTTTTTTTTGCCCCCCTCCTTCCCTCCCACGTATCCCCTCCCTCCCCAGAGTTTTATGTCCATTGGTTGTACTTATATGCATGTATACAAGTCCTTGGGTTGATTTATTGTCTCCCCCAGACCCTCCTCCACTCCCCGTTGTAATTTGTCAATCTGCTTGTTGCTTTACTGTCTCTATATCTATCTTTTGGTTCATCAGTTTATAATGATCTTTATTATCCACAAATGAGTGGGGTCATGTGGTGTTTCTCTTTCATTGATTGGCTTATTTCACTCAGCATGATGTTCTCCAATTCCATCCAGGTTGCTGCAAATGATGAGAATTCCTTCTTTTTTATGGCAGCATAGTATTCCATTGTGTAGATGTACCAAAGTTTTTGGATCCAATCATCAGCTGACGGGCACCTAGGCTGTTTCCAGATTCTGGCTATTGTAGATTGTGCTGCTATGAACATAGGGGTGCATATATCCTTTCTGATTGGTGTTTCTAGTTTCTTGGGATATATTCCTAGAAGTGGGATTACTGGGTCAAATGGGAGTTTCATTCTCAGTTTTTTGAGGAAACTCCACACTGTTCTCCACAGTGGTTGCACCAGTCTGCATTCCCACCAGCAGTGCACGAGGGTTCCTTTTTCTCCGCAACCTCGCCAACACTTGTCGTTTGTTGATTTGTTGATGTTGGCCATTCTGACAGGTGTGAGATGGTACCGCATTGTTGTTTTGATTTGCATCTCTCGGATAATTAGTGACTTTGAGCATGTTTTCATGTGCCTTTTGGCCTTCTTTCTGTCTTCTTTTGTAAATATTCTATTTAGGTCCATTGCCCATTTTTTAATTGGATCATTCATCTTCCTTTTATTTAGTTGTATCAGCTGTCTGTAGATGTTGGAGATTAAACCTTTATCCGTGGTATTATTTGCAAATATATTCTCCCATACCGTGGGCTTTCTTGTTGTTTTGTTGATGGTTTCTTTTGCTGTAAAAAAACTTTTTATTTTGATGTAGTCCCATTTGTTTATTTTCTCTTTAGCTTCCATTGCCCTAGGGGCAGTATCAGTGAAGAAGTTCTTTTGGCATACGTCTGAGATTTTGCTGCCTGCGGATGCTTCTAGTATTTTTATGGTTTCCCGTCTGATGTTTAAGTCCTGTATCCATTTTGAGTTTATTTTTGTGTATGGTGTAAGTTGGTGATCTAGTTTCATTCTTTTGCATGTGTCTGCCCAATTTTCCCAACACCATTTATTGAAGAAACTGTCTTGACTCCATTGTATATTCGTGCCTCCTTTGTCAAATATTAATTGAGCATAGTGATTTGGGTTGATATCTGGGTTCTCGATTCTATTCCATTTATCTATATGTCTGTTTTTGTGCCAGTACCAGGCTGTTTTGAGAACAGTGGCTTTGTAATACAGTTTGAAGTCTGGTATTGAGATCCCTCCTACTTTACCCTTCTTTCTCAGGATTGCTGTGGCTATTCGGGGTCTTTTATTGTTCCAAATGAACTTTTGGAGAGTTCTTTCTAGGTCGGTGAAATATGCCGTTGGTATTTTAATGGGGAGTGCATTGAACCTGTAGATTGCTTTAGGAAGTATGGACATTTTGATGATGTTGATTCTACCGATCCATGAACATGGTATATTCTTCCATCTCTTTACATCTTCCTCTATCTCTTTTTTCAGTGTCATGTAGTTTTCTGCATATAGGTCCTTTACTTCCTTAGTTAAATTTATTCCTAGGTATCTTAATTTTTTTGGTGCGATGGTAAATGGAATTGCTTTTTTAATCTCTGTTTCTATAGTTTCGCTGTTGGTGTATAGAAATGCCGTGGATTTCTTGGCATTAATTTTGTATCCTGCTACATTGCCAAATTCATTTATTAAGTCAATTAGTTTTTTAATGGAGTCTTTTGGGTTTTTTATGTATAATATCATATCATCTGCAAATAAGGATAACTTTACTACTTCTTTTCCAATTTGGATGCCTTTTATTTCCTCCTCTTGTCTAATTGCAATGGCTAGTACTTCCAGTACTATGTCAAACAGGAGTGGCGAGAGTGGGCATCCCTGTCTTGTTCCTGTTCTTAGAGGGAATGGTTTTAGTTTTTGCCCATTGAGTATAATGTTGGCTGTGGGTTTATCATATATAGCTTTTATTATGTTGAGGTATGATCCTTGTACTCCCACCTTGTTGAGAGTTTTTATCAGGAAAGGGTGTTGGATTTTATCAAATGCTTTTTCTGCATCTATTGATATGACTATATGATTTTTATCTTTCAGTTTGTTTATGTGATGTATCACGTTTATTGATTTGCGGATATTGTACCATCCTTGCATTCCTGGAATAAATCCTACTTGGTCATGGTGTATGATCTTTGTGATGTTCATCTGGAGTCTATTTGCTAGAATTTTGTTGAGGATTTTGGCATCTATGTTCATGAGGGATATTGGCCTGTAATTCTCTTTCATTGAGTTGTCTTTATCTGGTTTTGGTATTAGGGTGATGCTGGCTTCATAGAAGGAGTTTGGAAGTGTTCCTTCCTCTTGGATTTTTTGGAATAGTCTGAGGAGGAAAGGTTTTAGTTCTTCCTTGAATGTTTGGTAAAACTCTCCTGTGAAGCCATCAGGCCCTGGGCTTTTGTTTGCTGGAAGCTTTTTGATGACTGTTTCAATTTCTTCCCAAGTCACTGGTCTATTGAGATTTTTAGATTCTTCCTGATTGAGTTTTGGAAGGTTATATTTTTCTAGGAATATGTCCATTTCGTCCAGGTTGTTCAGTTTGTTGGAATAGAGTTGTTCGTAGTATTTTGTAACAATCTGTTGTATTTTGGTGGGGTCTGTTGTTATTTCACCTCTTTCATTTCTGATTTTGTTTATTTGGGTCCTCTCTCTTTGTTTCTTGGTTAGCCTGGCTAGAGGTTCATCTATCTTATTTATTCTTTCAAAAAACCAGCTCTTGGTTTTGTTGATCTTATGTATTGTTTTTTTGGTCTCTATGTCGTTTATCTGTGCTCTGATTTTTGTTATTTCCTTCCTTCTGCTTACACTGGGCTTTTCTTGTTGCTCCTTTTCTAATTCTTTGAGTTGTAGAGTTAGATCATCTGTTACCCTTTTTTCTAGTTTTTTGCAATAGGCTTGTAAGGATATGAACTTCCCTCTCAAAACTGCTTTTGCTGTGTCC